CAGGAGAGGGGTGGTGACAGGTTCAGGGTGACCATAAGGAGAAAGGGGACAGCGTGGATGGGGGGGGACAGCCAGGACAGAGGTGGCCCCAGGGACAAGGAGGACCCCGAGGATGGAGGGGAAAATTAGGACGGGGTGGCCATAGTGTTGGGGTGACCATAAGGAGAGGGGTGGCCATGGGGACAGAGGGGACAATCGGGACAGGGGTGGCCCCAGTGTCAGGGTGACCATGAGGACAAGAGGACACCAAGGATGGGGGGGGACAAGGGGGACAAGGGTGGCCACAGGGATGGAGGGACAACTGGGTGGCCGTGGGGACAGAAGGGACCATCAGGCCATGGGATCAGGGGCAGTGTCAGGGTGACCATGAGGACAAGGGGACACCAAGGATGGGGGGGGACAAGGGGGACAAGGGTGGCCACAGGGATGGAGGGACAACTGGGTGGCCGTGGGGACAGAAGGGACCATCAGGCCATGGTATCAGGGTGACCATCAAGGACAGGGGTGGCCGTGGGGACAGAGGGGACCATCAGGCCATGGTATCAGGGTGACCTTCAAGGACAGGGGTGGCCGTGGGGACAGAGGGGACCATCAGGCCATGGTATCAGGGTGACCATCAAGGACAGGGGTGGCCGTGGGGACAGAGGGGACAAGGAACCAGCGGAGCAGCCAAAACGGGGTAGAAAACCAAGACTGCGCTTGTCCCCTTTGTCACAGGGAGGTCCTCGCGTCACCGTCGCCCTTTTTTTAAGCCCAAAAAGGGGGAAATTGGGGTTTAAGGAGAAAATCCGGCACCTGGATCTGCTCCGGGTGTGGGAAATGGCTAAAACCGTGCGTGTTTTGGGGGAAATTAGGCCGGGTTTGGTATCATCCACCTCTTCCCCTCAGGTCTTTACGCCCGCGCCAAGAATCGAAGCAGACTGACGCCGGGGCGCCGCCGCCGCCTTCGTTAAGTGGTAATTATGCAAACGAGCTGGGTTTGGGCTGGCGCCGGGGTTGAGCTGGAGAAGTGGTACTGGGTTCAATTAAACTGGGTTTGATTAAACTGGGTTCAATTCACCAGGTTCAGTTAAACCGGGTTCGATTAAACCGGGTTCAATGAATCGGATTCGATTTAACTGGGTTCAGTTCACTGGGTTCAGTTAAACTGGGTTCAATTAAACTGGGTTCAATTCACCAGGTTGAATTAAGCTGGATTCAATTAAACTGGGTTCAGTGAAACCAGGTTCAATTCATTGGGTTTGATTAAACTGGGTTCAATTAAACTGGGTTTGATTAAACTGGGTACAATTCACCAGGTTCGATTAAACCGGGTTCAATGAATCGGGTTTGATTTAACTGGGTTCAGTTCACTGGGTTCAGTTAAACTGGGTTCAATTAAACCGGGTTCAGTTCACCAGGTTGAATTAAACTGGATTCAATTAAACTGGGTTCAGTGAAACCAGGTTCAATTCATTGGGTTTGATTAAACTGGGTTCAATTAAGCTGGGTTTGATTAAACTGGGTTTGATTAAACTGGGTTCAATTCCCCGGGTTCAGTTAAACCAGGTTCATTTAAACCGGGTTCGATGAATTGGGTTCGATTTAACCAGGTTCATTTAAATTGGGTTCAGTTCACTGGGTTCAGTTAAACTGGGTTCACTGGGTTCAATTAAACCGAGTTTGATTAATACAGGTTCAATTAAACTGGGTTTGATTAAACTGGGTTCAATTCCCCGGGTTCAGTTAAACCAGGTTCATTTAAACCGGGTTCGATGAATTGGGTTCGATTTAACCAGGTTCATTTAAATTGGGTTCAGTTCACTGGGTTCAGTTAAACTGGGTTCAATTAAACTGGGTTCAATTCACCAGGTTGAATTAAGCTGGATTCAATTAAACTGGGTTCAGTGAAACCAGGTTCAATTCATTGGGTTTGATTAAACTGATTAAACTGGGTTCAGTTAAACCAGGTTCAGTGAAACCAGGTTCAGTTCATTGGGTTTGATTAAACTGGGTTCAAATCCCTGGGTTCAGTTAAACAGGGTTCAATTCACAGAGCTCAATTAAACTGGGCTCAGTTAAGCTGGGCTCGATTAAACCAGGTTCAATTCATTGGGTTGAGTTAAACCAGTTCGATTAATCCAGGTTCAATTCATTGGGCTGAGTTAATCCGGGTTCAATTAATCCGGGTTCAATTAATCCTGGTTTAATTAATCCGGGTTCAATTCACCGCCGCCATCCCAGGGGTTGGGGACGGTGGCACCGTGCCGTGGTGGTTTTGGCACATCCCCAATCGGTGCAACCCCATCTCATGGGGTGGTTTTTTTTAATTTTCTTCCCTCCCAGCAATATTTTCCGGCTCCCGGCACACCGGCATCCCCATGGATTTCCTTACCGGCATCGGCTGCGCCTGTGCCGGGCTCCTGGTGGTGCTGACGGTGGCATTGCTGGGCGCGGCGTATCGTTTGGGGCTCCTCTACCAGCTGTGGCATAAGGTAGGATGAAACGGGTGAGAACACCGGCGGTTTTGCCGAAAACCACCTAGTTTGGAAGCGGTCCCGGCCGGTGGCTCGGCAAAGGGATGGTGACACCGCGCACGTCCTCCCGGTGAACTCCTCACCGTGCAGGTGGACCCCCGAAGCCCCCGGCACGGTGGTGAGTTGGTGGCGGAGGTGTTGAAGGCGCACGGCGTCCGCTTCCTCTTCACCCTGGCTGGTGGCCACATCTCACCCATCTTGGTGGCCAGCGAGAAGGTGGGCATCCGCGTGGTGGACACCCGGCACGAGGCCACCGCCGTCTTCGCCGCCGATGCCGTCTCCAGGCTCTCGGGTGCGGATATGGAGGGGGATCCCATGGCCAGCACCTTCTTCTGCCCCGATGGATGGAGGATTTTGGGGTGTCCCAGTTTGGTGGGGTCCTGGTTGACCTGAGAAGGGTTCAAACACTCTTCATGGTGGGTTTTGTCCCCATTTATTCCCTCCTGAGATAATTTGGTGGCTCCGGTGAGGACAGGATGAGGAGAAGGTGACGCCATGGCCAGCACCTTCTCCTGCCCCAATGGATGGAGGATTTTGGGGTGTCCCAGTTTGGTGGGGTCCTGGTTGACCTCAGAAGGGTTCAAAGACTTTGTGGGTGTCCGGGGTCCTTCCATGGTGGGTTTTGTCCCCATTTTCCCCCCTCTGGAGCTAATTTGGCCGCTTGGGTGCCAACGAGATGAGCAACCAAGCGTGCCTTGAACCCCCAGCCAAAAAATTGGGGTGCAAAGGGACCCCACCCCCCTTCCCCGCCATTTCCCCGCAGGTCGCATCGGCGTCGCTGCCGTCACCGCCGGTCCCGGCGTCACCAACACGGTGACGGCCATCAAGAACGCCCAGATGGCCGAGTCACCGGTGCTGCTCATCGGGGGAGCGGCTGCCCCGCCCAAGGAGGGGGGGGGCCCCCCCCCC